TGGGCCCATCCATTCTGGCATTCACAGAAAGCTTATGCTCTGATCATGAGGTGGATTTTGAGTTGACGTGGAAGGCACCAGCAGCTCATGGACAGCACTGTTGCCTGCACTGGGCCCATCCATTCTGGCATTCACAGAAAGCTCATGCTTGGATAATTTCCATGTGGTGGATAGGCGATAAACTTGGTGATGCACTCCTTGGTAGAGGAGGCACCTTGTATAGACAAGTGGATATTATGTTCCTTAGCCGCTCAGTTTTGCCTCTTACCTAGCCTCTGTACCTTGCAATGCAATCTGAAAGGACGTTGAGCTTTGAATTACCACCTATCAATAGATGCAAAAACAGTTGGGTTGAACCATTAACACATTACATGTCTGGCTGGACAATCACTTGGTTACAAGTTACCATACAACTGAATGGTCACAGCAATAAACGTGCCAACCTAAATTTCTATATCTTGTCACTCCTGGCAACCTGTTACCGGTACATTACACCTGAATGGTTGCAACATAAAAAGCATTTCAAACCCAGCACTGAATGCATCAACCTCTTCCCGCAAAGCCTGCAGCTCCTTGTTCTGCTCCTGGTAACCCTGTTACAGTGAATGCGCTACACCTGAATGGTCGCAACATCGAACCCTGGCATCTCAAACCCAGCACTGAACGCCTCAACCTCCTCCCTCAGTGCCTGAATCTCCTTGTTCTGCTCCAGGTCCTTGAGGAAGTCGCGCAGAAGCTTCCCCTTCTCCTTCTGAATGTCCAGGCTGATCTTGACTGCTCTGTCCAAAAACTCGCCCACCTTCTCGAAATCCTTCTCCACGAGGCCTCGAGAGGTCATGGCCGGGGTTCCTGTGGTGAGAGCGGATGGGAGGGAGTGGAATGGGATGGGGTGGGATGGGACAGGGAGTTGTTGGAAGATCGATAACTCGGTTGCTTTCTTTCTCAAGAACCTCATCAAGAGGTCATGGCAGGTGTATATGATCTATGGTGGGTGTGGGGTGTGGGGTGTGGGCTGGGTGGGGTGCATGTGCCAGGTGAGGGTGTGGGTGGGCGGGGAATGTGGGTTACACAGTAAGGCAAACCTCAGGACTAGGCAGATAAACTTAAAGGTACACACCTGACGTCACCAGGTGCCAACGCGTTGCTGTCTCCGATTTCTCTCACAAAGTACAAATAATAATAGCACAGTGAACTCATAATCACGCACCTATTCTGACGCCACCAGGTGCCAATGCGTTGCTGTCACCAAAGACGGAATTCTTGTTGAGCGTGATGTGTGCCAGGTCACACACCTTCTCCATCTTGTTGCCTGCCACGTAGACAAACCCAGGGTTCCAGAGGGGGTTTGGATTTCAGGTATAAGTTTCGAGTATGAAAGCAACGTGGAAGATAACGCAACAGGAGAGGCACAGCGTACATTTCCTCAAAAAGCCGGCCCTCGGATCTATAGTGCAACCCAGCAAAGTGTGACAACACAGAGTGTGACGCAGGAGAATGTGATACAACACTACACTATGTAACATCAGACCGTGCAACATACCAGTGAGGCCCAACGGGCGAAGGTCCCACAGCAGCAGGTGGTTGTCGGTGCCACCAGTAACCAGCTTGTAACCCTTCGCCACTAGCGCCTCCCCCAGCACACGTGCATTGGCCTTCACCTGAACCAATCAGAGAGGAGAAACATGGAATAGAAAATTATTGTAAGGAAACCCTTATGAGAGATGGAGGCATGGATGACGAAGGCGGGCGCTGGCCCTGATATCAACAAATGTGCTAATTTATGGCGGGTAATCGGACTGCCAAGGTTCTACAGAACGTCAGGGTTCAGGGAGCAAGCTAGCAGGGGTTTTTGAGGAATTATACAGGATTCGAAATGCTAAGAAAGAACTGAAATTGACTGGTCGATACACTATGGGACGCCTGGACCCGGGTCTTCCCCGCTTAAAGTTCTCCCATGATACTCGTTGGTTCTTGTGATTTTGAACAGATTTGAAAGCCCGAGCTAAAGAATACCGTTGACGCACCAGACGCCCACGCGGGGACTTGCCTGTAACTCTGAGACACCAAGAAGCTGGGTCTAAGATTTCGGGGTTCAGCTGACAAGCAGGAGGTTTACGGGTTTCAGGCTTGGACTTCAGACTCTAACTCTGAGTTTCAGGTTTAGAGCGAACGCAAGAGTAGAAGCCTGTTCCAGAGGGAAAGCAAGTGCAATATGAGATATTTCATACTTGGCTTTCCCGCCCAATTCTTCCACCTCGTACCTGCCGTCTCATGCATGATTCTCCCATACCGTACCTGCAGCGCGTACGCCTTAAACGCGGGAGTGGACGCCTGCTTCAGAGCCACCGCAAGTGCGCCGATCTGGTGGTTGTGCGGCCCGCCCTGCAGCGTCGGGAACACCGCGAAGTTGATGCGATCCTCGAAGTGATACATCCCGTCGTCCGCCGCCGCCACCTTCGCGCCCGCCTTGCTCGGCGACGCGGCCGCTTTGGCGGGTGGAGCGGCCTTGGGCCCGCGGCGGAAGAAGATCATCCCCGCGCGCGGACCGCGCAGGCTCTTGTGCGTCGTGGTTGTGACGAGATCGCAGTAATCGAAGGGATTCGCGGCTTCCTGCACAGATGCGGGTTTTGGGGGGCGGAGGGGAGGGAGGGAGAGGGGGGGGGAGGGGGAGTAGCCGGGGAAGGAGGGAAGGAAGCAGGTGGGGGTGGGAGAGAAGGAAGAACTATCAGGGTTCCCTTGATCTCTGACCCAGTTGTACAGTCCACTTTCATGCGATCGAGCTCAGAACCGTTTCAAGCTGCAATTGAGTTGATCTACTGATGCTTAACCACAGTTGAGAGACAAAACAACCATGCGGGAACGCGAAAATTTTACAAATGACAGATCGTACCTGCGACGCCACCAGTCCGCTGATATGCGCCATGTCGCACAGGAGCGTCGCACCAACTTTGTCCGCAATCTCACGGAATCGCGCGTAATCCCACTCGCGAGGGTACGCGCTCCCGCCGCAAATAATCATCTTCGGTCGGAAATCGATGGCTTTCTCTTCAAGCTTCGCATAATCCACGATGCCCGTCTCGGAATCAACCTTGTACGGCAGCGATTCAAAGTAGATCGACGTCCCCGATATACGCTTCCCGTTTGCCATATAGTACCCGTGCGTCAAGTGCCCGCCGGAGGGCAACTCCAGGCCCATCACGCGATCGTGCGGCTGCAAAATCGCTGTGTACGCGGCGAAATTTGCCGGGCTGCCCGAATACGGCTGCACGTTGACTCCCCATTTCGCGGGGTCAAGATGAAACGCTTCGAGCGCGCGGTTCCGGCAAAGATTCTCGATCTCGTCGATGTATTCATTCCCGCCGTAGTATCGCGCTCCGGGCATGCCTTCGGAGTATTTATTTGTCAGCGGGCTGCCCAGCGCCTCGAGCACGGCCTGCGAAGTGAAATTCTCGGACGCGATGAGCTCGATGCCGCGCCACTGGCGCTTCTTCTCCTTCTCAATCAGCTGGAACATCTCCGGGTCCACCTGAGCCAACGGGGTGTTGCCCCATGCTTTCACCGGATCCATGTTCCACGCACGCGGTAGTTACGGCCAACGCAGTTTCTTTAAGCAGCTGGGGACTAAGACTGCTGCGAAACTGGTTACGGCGACGGAACTGGATGGACAAGGAGAATAGAAGCTGCTTCGGAATTTGAGATTATGAAAGACGGGGTTGATCGGACTGTCTGCTCGGGGGAATTCTTATGAAGCAGAATCGAGGCTCTAAGGATGTGTCACATCCAATCAGAACTTTGAGATTGTTAGAACCTGTGGTTACAGATTCGCAGCTGTCGTAATCAGCCTCGTCGATTCGCGCAAAAGAATCGTCAGGGGTAAAACAAATCGGTAACGTTTGAATGTTCGAAAGCGAAATCGAGGCTCTTGCGCAGCGAAATCGAGGTTTCCAGGACTGGTGAGGCTCGAGGTCTGAAGGGGACAAGCTGCCACGGGGCTTGGTGCGGTGAATCTGTGGCATGCATTATGTGCGTCAGCTGAACGCCCAGAACACAAGGGACAATTTCCAGAAATCCCCGTGGTGACAGGAGGTATTCCCTGCGACGAGTTTTCTGCTACCGTTGTGGGTTTAGTCATATAATGACACCGGGTTCGTCTGGAATTTTTGCTTCGGGAGCACGAAATGCTAGTATCCGAGAACTTTTTGTTCACGATTAACGCGTCAATCACACCAGGAGACTGGTATCCTTTGCTCTGGGTTTTACGCTATGGTGATTTATTCTGCCGCCCGCTACCGGTGAAACTGGATCAGCGGCAGCAGCCAATGCCAAGCCGCGTCGGGAATGTAATTTATGGCCAGCTGGATCTGTGGCAGAGTCAGCGTAGCGTCGGGAAGCCCTGTGATGGGCTGATAGCCGTTGCTCGCCCCTGCTGGCGCCGACAGACGTCCCAATTGCGCGGGAAAAGCCCAGGGTCATTTCGACACGACTGACAAGGTTGCCAGCGTGGCGCCACGGCATCTCAATTGTTATGCCAGCGGATCTCCAATCCCAGGAGTTTGCATTGGGCTACACGTGGAGGAAACAAGCTCCGATCACATCCCATTCACTGTAGTCTACGGATGTAGTGTTTGGGAAAGTATGCGAATGGTAACCGAAAAGGGGCTCAATAGTGAGCACGGTAAAGGACACCAAAATGCCAGCTTATAATTCCAACTTAACATATCATATTGACATCCCAAGCCAGCACCACTGGCGGAAACCACTTAGGATTCATCACTCCGGAATCGATGGAGAACTAAGTGTCCCGTCAAACGAAATGGTGCCTAGCCAACGAAAGGGTGGCAGGTCAGGGCCGATATCTGGCCCCGAAGGAACGAGCCACAACCGTGACTGTCAAGATCAGCAATAGGACAAGAATGCGCAGAAAGTCAAGGCGGTGCTAGCCCGTCATTCCAACAAAACCTATGTCAGTGGAAACGGAATACAACAGAAGAAACCGCTACTCAAGCCAGGTGGCGGCTAGCAGGGGAGAAAGACGGCAGGTCCGGGCCCGAATCCGGCGCGGAGCGAGCGACAAGCGCCGCCGCCATGATGAGCAACGGGAGAGCGAGGATCCACTTGAGGAGGCGGTAGAAGTGGATGTGGAAGGAGAGGGCGAACTCATCATGGAAGTGCAGGCGGCGCTCATCCTCCATCTCGATGAAGAAGGTGGCGTGCGTGCGGCGCTTGGGCGTGGGGATGACCAGCGTGTGCACGCCTGCGTGCTGGAAGGTCTCCTCGTGGGTCAGCTCCCGCTTCGCATCGTCAAACAACCACACCTGAGGCATGGGGTGGGTGTGGGGGTTGATGGCAGGTTTTGCGCGCATCCACGATCTCACAAGTCTCACCTTGACCTTGATGTGAAGTTGACCCGGAAGGATTAGAGTCTACCACAAATCTCACTCACCTTGACCTTGTACGGCCCGATCTGAGCACCATGTGCCCCACCATGACCCAGGGGGTTGCGCGCGTCAACAATTTCGAAGCTGACTCGAAAGGTGTCCTTGCCAATGTCACGGTACTGGCGGGAGTGCAGACAAAAGGGCTACACCCATCATTCCTAGACTCTAGGCACAAGTCTCACCTTGACCTTGTACGGCCCGATCTGAGCGCCATGTGTGCCTCCATGCCCAAGCGGATTACGCGCATCCACGATCTCGAAGCTGGCGCGGAAGGAGTCCTTGCCAATGTCACGGTACTGGCGGGAGTGCAGACAAAAGGGCTACACCCATCATTCCTAGACTCTAGGCACAAGTCTCACCTTGACCTTGTACGGCCCGATCTGAGCGCCATGTGTGCCTCCATGCCCAAGCGGATTACGCGCATCCACGATCTCGAAGCTGGCGCGGAAGGAGTCCTTGCCAATGTCACGGTACTGGCGCGAGTGCAGCAGCATGTAGATGCTCCTTCACACATGGACAGACAGACAAAGACTCATGGCCTGAACGCACCTTGACCTTGTACGGCCCGATGTGAGCCCCTCCGTGCCCCAGAGGGTTGCGCGCGTCCACGATCTCGAAGCTGACGCGGAAGGAGTCCTTGCCAATGTCACGGTACTGGCGCGAGTGTGGCAGCATGTAGATGCCCTCATGGCCGTAGCGTGGGAAGAACACGTTGCGCCCCTGGTTCTGGGACGGCCACGCCTGGTTGGTTCACAGTGAACAATGGTGGGTTGGAAGTGGGACGGAGAGATAGTGGAAAGCAGTAAGCACAGGAGTTATTGGAAGGGCATGCCCTGTGTGTTCTTCAGAGGCGGCTGGTGCATGGGGAGTGGGGAAGTGGGGTGGGAAGGAAGGAGAGGGGGCAAGGCATGAGGTGGATGTGTGGTGGTACTGGCGGGAGTGTGGCAGCATGTAGATGCCCTCATGGCCGTAGCGTGGGAAGAACACGTTGCGCCCCTGGCTCTGAGACAGCCACGCCTGGAAGGGGCGGAGGAGGAGACATAAGGATTGCCAGAGAGAGGGAGGAAACGAGGAGCTGAGATTCATTCACAAGGCAAGGGGATTCTCATATCATCCTGTGAAGCAGTATGAACCATCCCATTTAGCCATACCTGGTTAATTGGGGAAATGGGTTGGCAAAAACGATCTCAAATAGAGTTGTTAGTTTGCTTGCGCATAGATAGGACGTCTCCGAGACTCTCATTCAGGTCCAGAAAAACGCATGGCAACCGTGGTTCTGCAAACACACTTGCATTGGTTCTGGGAGGTCTCAAAACGTTCCGAGAAACCATCGCGCCTTTCACTGGGTCACACACATATCACCGCACCTTCAATGGGTGGTACTGCACAGGCGTCCGGAAGCAGGACACAGCACCATCTATACTGGAAGACCGTTCATAATAACGTGTATCTGACAGGCTGACACCATTACCAAGCCTCTCAAGAAAGGGTACTGCTTTAAATCTATCTCACCTTGAGAGGGTGGTACTGCACAGACGTCTGGAAGCAATAATCGGCGCCGTTCATGGTGGAAACCACCAGTGCTGATCACACGTGCGCACGACACTCTTATCGAGCTTTGACTGGGGAACATCGCCCCCCATCATCTCACCTTCAACGGGTGGTACTGCACGGACGTCTGGAAGCAGTACACAGCGCCGTTCATGGTGGAAACCACCAGGTCCAGGTCGTCTCCCCCATCCACGTTCTCTGCCAGCACCATGCTGTAGCTGTTACATGTGAGGGGGGGGGGAAAGAGTGGAAGGGGCGGAGAGGGAGGCGGTGGAAACCACCAGGTCTAAGTCGTCCCCTCCATCCACGTGCTCCGCCAGAACCATGCTGTAGCTGCACGGTTGAAAAGGGGAGGGGAAGTGGTGGGAGAGGATGGGGTGGGATGGAGGACGAAGGGGACAGGTGTGATGAAACCACCAGGTCTAAGTCGTCCCCTCCATCCACGTTCCCCGCCAGGACCATGCCGTACGAGTTCCCCCCCGTTGCATGGGCGGGGGGGTACAGCATGGTGGATGGAGGGGACGTTCCCCCCCGTTGCATGGGCGGGGGGGTCGGGTTTGGTGGGGGATTGGTGTCGTAGGATCGAGGGGGTGGGAGAGAGGTGAGCTGAGGAAACAACCAGCAAGTCCAAGTCGTCCCTTCCCCACATCCTCTCTTTCCTCTCCACCTCCCCCCCCACCTCTCCCACCCACCCCTTCCCCCGCCCACCCCCCTCCGCCTCCCCCCTACCCCATCGTTCCCCATGCCCCCGACTTACGAGGTTTCCCCGATGTCAAATGTATCGGCGCATCCGGTCCGTCCATCCACGGCGTACAGGAACCCATCAAACGACACCACCACCAGATGCAGCCCTGCTGACACCGCCGCGTGCTGCCCCTTGCCGCCTGCGTGCTTGTGCAGATCCACGAGCAGAATCGGCGCCATGATGCGCCCGTGCGTGCGGAAGGGGAAGCCCCCCACGTCCTTGCCTGGGGAAACGAGAGGGGAAGGGCAGGGGGGGAGGGATGGAGGGGGTTGTGTTTGCGTGCTGCCCCTTGGTGCCTGCTGCCCGGCCTGGCTTGCTTGTGCAGGTCCACGAGGAGAATCGGCGCCATGATGCGCCTGTGCGTGCGGAAGGGGAAGGCCCCCAAGTCCTTGCCTGTTGTTGAGGGCAGCACATGGGGGGGGATGGAAGGGGTAAGGAATGCGTGTTGCCAATTGCTGCCTTTTGCCACCCGCATGCTTGTGCAGGTCCACGAGGGGAATCGGCTCCATGATGCGCCCATGCGTGCGGAAGGGGAACGCGCCCACGTCCTTGCCTGGAGGGAAGGGGGAGGGGCGGGGCAGGGGGAGAGGGGAAAAGGAGTTGGAACGCGTGCCGCCCTGCCCTGCCCACCCCGCCGTGCCTGTGCAATGCAGGTCTACTAGGAGAATCGGCGCCAGCGCCATGATTCGCCCGTGCTTGCGAAAGGGGAAAGCGCGCACGTCCTTGCCTGGAGGGAAGGGGAAAGGGAAGGGAGGGTGCGGGGGGGAGAGATGGAGGGGGTTGTGTTCGCATGCTGCCCCTTGCTGCCCGCCCCTGCTTGCCTGTGCAGGTGCACTCAGAGGCGCCTCTCCTGGCATTTGTTTCCCTCATAATTTTGGAGTCTTGAGAACAGTCAAAACTCAATGGCACACCTGCATTGTAACCACACCAATGCTCTCATCCCCTCACCAGTGCGCCCATACAGCACGTAGATGTGGCCTGACGACGATGAACCCAGCACCACCTCAGTGAACCTCGTTTAGGGCGCCTTGAAAGCACACTCCGTACAGCCTGTCCCAGTCGTCCCCTCACCCGCCCATCCATCCCCTCACCTGTTCGGCCATGACAGCACATAGACGTGGCCTCATGTGGACCCCAGAACCACCTCTGTGAACCCAGACGGCCATTTCCATTCACAGCCCCCCATTCCCTGCACGATCAGCAACGCCAGATGCCGCTCCCACACCTCCCCTCCCTCCCATGAAAAGGCCGCCTCCCCACCGCCCCGACATCACCAAACGCAACCTCCAAATCCAACTTGGAAATGCTGAGCTACCTCTATCTATCCTCTGGTGGGCGCTTACCTGTGCGTCCATCCAGCACGTAGATATGTCCTGACGACGACCCAATTACCACCTCAGTAAACCCGTCCCCATTCACGTCGCCCACGCTCGCCCCCTGTGCGATCAGCGAGGCCAGGTGCCGCTCCCACACCTTGCCCTCCGAGGTGAAGGCCGCCACCCCAACCCACTGCGTCTACCCATTGCCATCAAACCCACTTCAGAGAAACCCCCGTCACCATGTCACATCCGATTCTTCCTTGAAAGGGACAAGTCATCCTAAGGTGGATCCTCACCTGTCCTGCCATCCAGCACGTAAATATGCCCCGAGGACGACCCGATCACCACCTCGGTGAATCCGTCTCCATTCACGTCGCCCACGCTCGCCCCCTGTGCGATCAGCGACGCCAGGTGCCGCTCCCACACCTCCTTGCCCTCCGAGGTGAATGCCGCCACGTTGCCACGAGTGTCGGCTGCAATGATCTCGAGCTTGCCATCGTGGTTCACGTCTGCTGCCACCACCTGCCCCTGCACCTCGCCCATTTGTAAGGGAAATCCAGGTTTAACTTTGCCTGGGGGGTGTGGGGGTAAGGGGCGGGGAAGGGGACCCCCAGGAGGAGGGAGCGGGGAGGCAGAGAGGGAGCGAGAGCGTGGAAAACAGTAGGTGAAACAGGGAAGAGAGAGAGAGGGGAAGAAGAGAGGGGGGAGGAGGCGGCCACGTTGCCGCGAGTGTCGGCTGCAATGATCTCGAGCTTGCCGTCGTGGTTCACGTCTGCTGCCACCACCTGCCCCTGCACCTCCCCCATCTGGAGAGGAAAACCGGGCTTCACCTTGCCTGGTTGTTATTGCGGGGGAGGGGAAGGGGGAAAGGGAACCCCAGGGGGAGGGAGCAGGGAGGCAGCGAGGGGGGAAGAGTGGGACAGTACGTGAAGCAGGGAAGAGAGAGATGTGAGGAAGGGAGGAGGGAGAAGGCAGCCACGTTGCCGCGTGTGTCGGCTGCAATGATCTCTGCTGCCACCACCTGCCCCTGCACCTCCCCCATCTGCAGCGGAAAACCGGGCTTCACCTTGCCTGGTTGTTGTGGGGGGGGGATTGCAAGGGGAGGCAAACAAGGGGCAAGAGAGCAAAATGGAGAAAGAGGGAGTGGGGAAAGTGGGAGAGGAGAAATTTGGAGGGCAGAAAGAGGGAGTGGAGAACAGTGTGCGCAGGGGAATAGTTTATTGATTCATGCACGTACCAAACGCGTCGAGGCAGTAGATGAAGCCGACAGACGTGCCCACAATGATCTCCAGAAACCCATCTCCATCCAAACATACCACAGTGGGAGCCGAATATATGTAGGCGCGGAACTGCGTGCTGTCGGTGGTGAGATCCAGGTGCTGCTGGTGGTGGTGGTGCCTGTGCAGTGCTGCGACCACTTGACCTGCTTCTGCCTGAACTGAGATTGTGCTACAGACCCACTCAAGGACTCAACAACCTGCTGCCTCTGATTTACCAGATGGTCAGAGAATGACATAGAAAGAAGGAGCGTACCGAATGCGTCGAAGGCAGTAGATGAAGCCCACAGACGTCCCGACAATGATCTCCAGAAACCCATCTCCATCCAAATCCACCACGCTGGGCGCCGAGTAGATGTAGGCGCGGAACTGCGTGCTGTCGGTGGTGAGGTCGAGGTGCTGCGACCACTTGACCTGCTGCTGCTGCCTAAGCCGACCGAGACCGCTCTCAAACCCAAGAAAGCACACCAGAACCCACACTAGAACGTACCAAAGGCGTCGAGGCAGTAGATGAAGCCAACAGACGTCCCAACAATGATCTCCAGGAACCCATCTCCGTCTAAATCCACCACCGTAGGAGCGGAGTAGATGTAGGCGCGGAACTGTGTGCTGTCGGTGGTGAGATCCAGGTGCTGCGACCACTTGAGCCCAGGCGGGACCATTTCCAACCACAAAGAAGCACACCAGAAGCAGCAACCAGCTAGACCACGACTTTGAGTCGTACCATAAGTCACCTAAACAGAACGTACCAAAGGCATCGAGGCAGTAAATGAAGCCAACGGACGTCCCCACGATGATCTCCAGGAACCCATCTCCATCCAGATCAACCACCGTAGGCGCCGAGTAGATGTAGGCGCGGAACTGCGTGCTGTCGGTGGTGAGGTCGAGGTGCTGCGACCACTTGACCTGCTGTGTGTGCAGGTCGAACACCACAATGGCCCCCCCGATGTACTTGCTCATGTCCACGCCCTCCTCCAACTCGTGCTTGTGTGCCGGATCCTCGTAGTACCTGGTTGGGGGATGTGGGTGCAGGGAAGGGGGGACATGTGTTATGGCATGGATGGTATGGCATGGATGGTATGGCATGGAGTTGAAGGCTTGTACTTGCTCATGTCCACGACCTCCTCCAACTCGTGCTTGTGCGCCGGATCCTCGTAGTACCTGGTTGGTGGGTGGGAGGGTGAAGGGGCGGGGGGTTTTGTGCATTATGGCATGGATGGTACGGCATGGGGTTGAAGGCATGTACTTGCTCATGTCCACCCCCTCCTCCAACTCGTGCTTGTGCGCTGGGTCCTCGTAGTACCTGGTTGGAGATCAAACCATGTGAAGAAACATTTCTGTTATGTTTTCCTTTCTTTTTCTTCTTCTTTTTCCGTTGCTTCTTTTTTGGGGATTGGAAGTAGTATGGGCAAGTTATGAGAGTAGTCACAGCACAAGCTCAGCATGGCACAACATGACACAGCACACGGCATGGCATGGCATGCCGGCGTCAAGGTGCTGCAAGCTGCCCCAAGCCAACTCACTCTCGGTCAAAGAAATGCTAGATGCCACCACCATCACCTCATCATGACTGTTGAGTCGACTAAAAATTCACCTCAACTCAACCTGCCCCAACCGCACTCACTCTCGGTCAAAGAAGTGAGATGCCGCCACCACCAGCTCATCATGGCCGTCATTGTCAATGTCCGCTATCACCTGGTTGAGGGCGGGAGTGAATGGAGGGAGAGAGGGATGATTTGTGACATTTGAGTCGACTCCAAAGTCGCTACCACCACCAGCTCATCATGGCCGTCGTTGTCAATGTCTGCTATCACCTGATGTGGGAGGGAGGGAGGGGAAGCAGCACGCAGGGAGAGAGCGCGATGATTTTGTGACATTTGATTTGACTCAAGAGATGCCGCCACCACCAGCTCATAACGACCAGCAATGTCAATGTCCGCTATCACCTGATGTCGGAGGGAGAGAGGGAGAGGGAGAGAGAGAAGGAGGAGACGAAGAAGTAGAGTGGGATGTAGATTGAAAAGGAGACATATTCTATCAATGAATATGAACTCCTTTTTACCCTCATTCTCCGTACAACCTGTCCTCCCACACGCTCTCCTTCACACTCAGACACAAAGTGACTCTTGAGTCGACTAAAACATCGCACACAACCCACTCAATCTCGCAAGCTACTAGGCCCACAGCGCATCTCTGCAAGAAACCAAAGGAACATCAGACTGGCCAACAGACAGGGCCGATCAGAACGCAACCCTTCTCCGCTCCACTCATCCTCCCTCCCCCAGCACCTGTAACCCGCAAATGTTTTGAGGCGCCTCAGAAATTGACTAATGAAAATCCAAATCCACCAATCACAGGCAGGCAAGCCATCCCTACCGGTGTGCAGAGGATGTGCGAGTCAACAAGGATGTACTCCTTGTCCGCCTCGTGCTCCGCCTCGGTCCAGTCCTCGTCCCTCTTGGTGTTACCTATAACCATTTGATGCAAGCAATGCTTACCGGCGTGCAGAGAATGTGCGAGTCCACAAGGATGTACTCCTTATCAGCTTCGTGCTCCGCCTCCGTCCAGTCCTCATCCTCCCACATGTTCTCATTCACATAATCATCATAATCGTACTGATACTCGTCCCCATCCTCCTTCTCCGCCCGCGGTCCCCCCCACTCATCATCCTCCCCCTCCTCCTTCTCTACGTGCTCCTCCTTGTGTGTCTCCTCCTCCCCGTGATGCCCCCACCCGCCGTGACCCTCGTGCTCCTCCTCTCCCACGTGCTCCTCCCCCTCCCCCACCGCCTCCCCCTCGCCCTCGTTGTTCCCCGCCCAGTCATCCCCGTCCCCCTCCCACTGCCTGTAGTCATCATCATCCTCTTTGAACACGTCCCATGAGTCCGCCCCCTCCTCGTCCAGCTCACTGTCCGGCTCTGCTGTGGGGAACTGGGGAACAGAGAGGAGGGACACACAAGGAAACGGGGGACGATGGGGATGGGAAACCAGGCTACTTCTGTCCATGTCCTTCCCAAGTCATCATCTTTGTTGTATACTGCATGCTACTTGCACCACGCAGGCCCCCATGAACAGCAGCAGCAGCAGCAGCAGCAGCAACCCAGACTCGCGTCTTCATGGTCGCCAGCATGGTGTTCCTAGTGCCCACCTGCAGCAGGCTTCTACATGTATCACCACCCCCCCCACCTCCCCCTCCCAGCAACCCCATCTGAACTCACATCCTCGTGGTCCCCAGCATGGTGTTCCCCATGCACCTGCTGCAGCCTCCTGCACGCAGCTGCATGCGCCCAGAACCAACATGCACCCACACACGCTCACCCTGCATCCCACCTACCCCAGCAGCCCCCCTCCTGGACTCACATCCTCGTGGTCGCCAGCGTGGTGGTCCCCGTGCACCTGCAGCAGCCTCCTGCGTGCTGCTCCCACGTCTCCATCCCTCCCCACCCCTGCCTTCTCCTCATGCACCTGCAGCAGCCGCCTACGCGCCCCATGCACCCCACCAGCAGCAGCAGCAGGGGGCGAGCTGTCTCCCGGGAGCAGCAGCTTGCTCCTCCAGTCCTGGTAGTGCTTCCACAGCGCCTGCTCCTTCTCCCCCATTTGGGATCCTGGTGCCACCTTGCCCGTCACATCCTGGTGCCACTTCTCCCACGACTGGATCTTCTGTAAATCCGCCTCCGTTGCTTGGACCTTCCCAGAACCTTCCACCTGCTGCTGCCCCTGCCCCGCCTGCTGCTGCCCCTGCTGCTGCTGTCCCTGCTGTCCCCCTGCTGCTGCTGCTGCTGCTGCGATTCCCCCACTCATGGCAGCAGCGACAGCAGCAGCGGCTGCCTTGGCCTCTGCTGCAGCATGCGCCTCTTTGCTGCACAGCCCGTCCTTCCCACAATCCACCACATCCGCCAACGCCGCCCCTCGCCCTCCCGCTGCTGCAGCACCACCAGCACCCCCAGCAGCACCAGAACCACCAGCAGCACCACCAGCACCAGCACCAGCAGTAGCATCGTCTGAACCTTGCCCTAGCGCTTCTACAGGCGGGGGCAAGTCAATCCCCCCGCTACTAGCACCTCCAGTAGCAGCACCACCACCGCCAGTAACAAGAGGGGGGAGACCCGGGTCGTCCTGAGGGGTCTCAAAATGCACCCCTGCCTGCACCTGCGCCTGAGGGTGCTGGTCCGCAAGCACTCTAGCAGCAGTGGCTGTGCCAAAAGCTGTGTCCGCTGCTGCGTGGGGGACGCCTGGTTGCTGCAGGTCACTGCCATGAGGCAAACCGCCCCCTCCTGCTGTGTGCTGCTGCTCGGTATGCTTGTCCGGATGTTGCTCCGGGTGGTGCTCGTGATGCACCTCCTGCGGCTGCTGCTGCAGTGGCTGAGTCTTATACTGCCCCTGCGCCTGCTGCCCCTGCGCCTGTCCCTGTGTTCCTGGTGCGTGGGTGTCAGAGCCACCGGCACCGCGCTCAGCATGCGCGTCAGCAGCATGAGCCGTGGGCAGGTTCAGAAGGTCGCCCTCCTGGTGCTGGCTGGATGCGTTCTTGGCTGCAGGGTGAAACGCAGTGGGAGAGGGGGAGGGTCGGTGCAGAGGGAAAGGATAAACCAGTGAGAATGAAAGAACCACCACCAGCACCGCACGCGGCATGGGCGTCAGCAGCGTGTGCCGTGGGCAGGTTCAGCAGGTCGCTCTCCTGGTGCTGGCTGGACGCGTTCTTGGCTGCCGTGTGAAACGCAAGGGGGGGATGGGGGAGGGCGAGGGGGGTGGAAAAGAGAATATCAGCAGCGTGGGCCGTGGGTAGGTTCAGAAGGTCGCCCCAATGGAGCTGGCTGGACGCGTTTTTGCCTGCCAGGTGAAGCACAGGGAGGTAAGAGGGAGGACCAGGGAAGGAGGAGAGAGGGAGGAGGGGGGAGAGAGAGGGGGATGGTGGGTGCGGAGGGACAGAATATATCAGTGAGAATGGGAGAACCACCACCAGCGCCGCGCTCAGCATGGGTGTCAGCAGCGTGTGGCTTGGGCAGGTTGAGCAGATCGCTCTCCTGGTGCTGGTTGGACGCGTTCTTGGCTGCTGCTGCGTGAAACATACGGAGGGAAAGGGGGAAGATGCAGAAGGGGAGGGAGGGGGAGGGAGAGAGGGTCAGTGCGCAGGGAGAAACAACATCTGTGACGATGGAAGGACCACCACCAGCACCGTATTTGGCAAGGTCATCAGCAGCGTGTGGCTTGGGCAGGTTCAGCAAATCGCTCTCCTGAGGCTGGCTGGACGCGTTCTCGGCTGCCGTGAGAAGCACAAGGGGGTGGGTGGGGAGGGCGAGGGGGTTGGAAAAGAGAATATCAGCGGCGAGGGCCGTGGGCAGGTTCAGCAGGTCGCCCCCCTGGTGCTGGCTGGACGCGTTCTTGGCTGCCGTGAGAAGCATGGTGAAGGGAGTGGGACTCTGGGTCAAGCCGAGCATTCCACGACTGAGAATGCAGCTGCTTATAACGAGGATAAATCTCACCATCGTCAATGGGGGCGTGGATGTCAGGGTGTGCATGGTCCACGTGGTCTGGGTCCAGCCCCACGTACCACTCCATGTCTAAGTGCAATGTCTTATAACGAGGATATATCAGCCGATAAAAGCTTAACCTAAAGCATCTCACCATCGTCAATGGGGGCGTGGATGTCGGGGTGAGCATGGTCCATGTGGTCTGGGTCCAGCCCCACATACCACTCCTTATCCATTCATGTACAGTGTATCTTATAACGAGGATATCTCACCATCATCAATAGGAGCGTGGATGTCAGGGTGAGCATGGTCCACATGGTCTGGGTCCAGCCCCACATACCACTCCTTATCCATTCATGTACAGTGTATCTTATAACGAGGATATCTCACCATCATCAATGGGGGCGTGGATGTCAGGGTGAGCATGGTCCACATGGTCTGGGTCCAGCCCCACATACCACTCCTTATCCATTCATGTACAGTGTATCTTATAACGAGGATATCTCACCATCATCAATGGGGGCGTGGATGTCAGGGTGAGCATGGTCCACATGGTCAGGGTCCAGCCCCACATACCACTCCTTGCGGATGCGCAGCCGCGGCACACTCATCTTATAACGAGTCAGCTCCTCGCCACCAGGCCTGGAGCATGCGGGGAGCAAAGTGATTGGAAATATGGAAAAAAAGAGCAAGGAGTTGGAGGTTTGAGAAGTCTCAAAACTTGCGGATGCGCAGCCGCGGCACACTCATCTTATAACGAGTCAGCTCCTCGCCACCAGGCCTGCAAGAAGAACATATATACAAGTCAAGGGGTGTAGTGAACAGGTATGACCGGGAACAGGGAGATTAGAACGGTGGAGTGGGATTGGGTGGGCTCAAACGTGAAGGGAGATGATCTAAGCGTTGTAGACCGCAACGATGGTCTCCTTCCCGCCGTCCTTGTTGATGCCATGCAACACGGAGCCACACTCACCATTAGGCTCACAATTCCCTAATCGTGCAGTGCAACAGTGTGTGCAAGCAAGCATCTGTGTCTGCCTGTCCCATCCGCACTGCCTGCCTCCCATGCATGTATGAGAAGGAGCAAGCAGCTACTGACTCACGTGAAGGAGATGATTTCGCCGTTGTAGTCCGCGAGGATGATCTCCCTCACGCCGTCCTTGTCTATGTCGTACAGGAGAGGGCTCGTGTGCGTGCTGGAGCGATAAAAGGCCGGCCAACCTGAAACAGAGGGGAAAGGCGGCACAAGAGGGGAAGGTTTTGAGACACTGCAACGTAACCTATCAACGTAACCCTCACGCCGTCCTTGTCAATATCGTACAACAGGGGGCTCGTGTGCGTGCTAGAGCGGTAGAAGGCCGGCCAGCCTGCCAAAGGGCACGGACAAAGCATCACACGACACAGGCTTTGAGGCTGTCGTACAGGAGAGGGCTCGTGTGCGTGCTGGAGCGGTAGAAGGCCGGCCAGCCTGCCAAAGGGCACGGACAAAGCATCACACGACACAGGCTTTGAGGCTGTCGTACAGGAGAGGGCTCGTGTGCGTGCTGGAGCGGTAGAAGGCCGGCCAGCCTGAGACAGAGGCGCAAGTGGGCAGCTTGGAAAGCTATTGTAGTCATCGAGCACCCCAAGGCTCGAGGTAGGTAGTGCACGAAGGACGGCACCGCACCACCACCACCTCCAGCACCACCACCGCTACCACTACCACCATCATTAGCACTTGTGACCATCAACCACTCACCATGCAGCCGGTCCCCATCATAGCCGTCCAGCACCTCGAGGTAGTGCACGAAGGACGGCACCACCACCTCCATCTTGCCGTCCCTGCGCCAGCGATCAGGGCAAGGGAGACGAGGAATGTGAGGGCAGGCAGATCGCCATAACTAAGTTTTACCGCACGTCGTTAACGGAGGTGACTTTTTGCGTCAAAAGTCATCTGTGGCAGCGATTGAGACAAGGAAGACGAGGAATGTGAGAGCGGGTAGATCGCCATGACTGGATTCGACAGCACGTCGTTTTGCCGCGCGGAACCCCGAGCGTGAGCCGAATGAGATGCCAGCGCGATGGAGATGAGGAGGGGGTATGAACGCAGCCTTTCAGAGCAATCCATTGCAGACTGATTCGCGAGACCATTAACATTAGATGAGCCCAACCAGAATAACGGTCTCGCACGATCGTCATGACCGCAGCGTTGTTATCGACGATATCCGACAGAAACAAAAGAATAACCCTACATTAGTCATGCACCGACCTGTTAATGTCGGCGACGAGGGGAGTGGAGTAGATGCTGCTGCTGACCTCCGCCTGCCATCGCAGCTCCAGATTCACGGGACACCGGCTGTTCCCCATCGCCTCCTCGTCGCTGCTCGTATGTTCAGTCGTTCGTTCGATACAGTCACGCCGATTTATGCACATGGCCACAGGGATGGTGGGAATGAGATCGAATTCGTCGAAGCAAAGAGAGCCGAAATTAGTGTAAAAAATGTCGTTTTCTACTAATAATAACTCATTCGCTGAGGAAGGAATTTTGAATTGGTATACAGACGAGGGACAGCGGGAAGAAAACGAGAACAGTGAAGGAAGTCAATTCTTACACGGCTGGAATAGCATCGCTGTCGGCTGTCGCGTGACGCGACAGAAACTTATTCCCCTCATTGATCACGTGAGAGTCTCTGGTAACCGGATTCGACAACTGAGCCTGACATTCCGTCGCCAGCAACGCCACCACGCACAGCACCAAAAACCCGACCTGTACGATCGGCTTCATCCTTACGCCTAACTCAAGCCGCGATGGACGCGAGGCGCGCGCAATCTGCAGACCTCAACGCGACGGACCGACCATGCGACCAGAAAGGAATCTAGTAATCGCGTTATCAGGAAACGATACAGGGCCTGAATTATGGAGGACCCTTGGGATAATCGAAGCTGGTCGTGGTGAAGTGAAGTGCCTGATGAGATCAGCGATTCTGGATCAAGATTTGAAGAAAACCGAGGGCCGAAAGCATACCCGCTTAAGAGAGGAGGGATGTAAATCACTAACTCTCAATGGCAAACTGTATTTTCTCAGAACGACATTGCTTATTTGTATGCATCCCTCATCATTATCATCTTGCAGTTACGACTGACGATGTATGCATGCACATGTAAAACATCCAGAAAAAATAACATTATCATCTTGTTATTTTTCAAGCAAACATAAAATCTTCATGCGTAATTTTATTTCCATACGTATCTAAGGCGATAATCTTCCAAGCGGCCTTTCATCATAATCAGGCAGCAATCTGCACCGAGACGAAGATGCCAAATATTGTCAAATACATTGCCACCCTTTATCTTTAAGTCATTTGATTGAATATACTGCTGCTGAATTTCCGCGATTCCGCGTTATCACATTTTTTTTTCCAAGTTCATGTTTTATAGACCATGTTGGCCAGTGTCACAAAAAATGCTAGAATACGCTGTCATTTCTAGTGCACAAGATGGCATAGTCAGGCATTATGTCAAAATCCCAGCCACTAGACCACTGTGATAAAGGGTTTGTTCCAAATGCGGGTCCGTACGCCCGAACCCCCCCCAGGCTAACATGCATGTAACCCCCTTAAGGTCAATCCGGGATCTCACAGTGCAGGTCTACTGACACCCCCCACACTGGGAGGCCCAGGACTCGGCACAGCGGCAACATCCTGCATGTCCATACATCGGGATTCGAAACCGAGACCGCTCTGATACCATGTCGGAATCCCAGCCACTAGACCATTGGGATAAAAGGGTTTGTTCCAAATGCGGGCCCGTGCGCCCAAACCGCCTCAGGCTAACATGTCTGCAACCCCGTTAGGATCAATCGGGGATCTCACAGTGCAGTTATATTGACACGTTATACCAATATTCTCATTCTTGACTGTGTACCTAATAGATATTGATGTGCTCGTTGAGTTCTAGTCCTCTGAATTTGGGAATCCGCAGTTGGTATTTTATTTTCCACGCATTCGCCAAACTCCTGGTGTCATCATCTTTTCCATCTGAAACAGGCCCCCAGATTCACTTTTAGAGGCCCTGATTGATCAGGGTCACCCTGTGCTCAAAGGCTGTTTGACAGTGTTACAAAAAAATAAAGCCTGAAAATCAGTGTCACTTTTTGAAAAAGGCTGATGGATCAGTGTCCCTAAACTTAAAATCCTGTTATTGCCAGTGTATAACCATCGCCACGGCTGGCTGCCTCTTGGTACACTAGGCAGGAAAGGAGGGAAACCCATTTCGGATGGAAAGCATGGAGCATAACGGGACCCTGGATGGCAGAAACGGTGGCTGTGCGGCGTCGATGCATCCCATCATGGGAGCATCAGTGCTTGCCAGCACGACCAAGACAAACCGCGCCACATGTGCAAGCAACGGTGCAGGAACCCTCGTATCGCAGCCTGCCAGCACCACTCTACTACTGACCGTCACTGCCTGTCATGGCCACTATCTCGGCAGTTGCAGCGGCTAGGGGTGGACAGCGGTGGTCACTGCCTCTCTCGGACGACCCCACCCCTCAGCAGCTTCGTGAGTGAGTTTTTCAACGAGCCCGTCTAGGTGGTGGAGGCTTTGGTTTTCTGCGTACTGCACGGAGGCGGCAGCAGATTCAGCAGGAGACCTTCTCCCCGCAGAATCTTAGTGAGTTGTTTTCTCAACGATGTGTCACTGGTTCTGTCGAGGCTGCTGCTATAGGTGCTAGTGAGTCTGCTGCCGCACTAGGTGCAAGTGAGTCTGCTGCCGCTCCAGGTACTAGTGAGTCTGCTGCAGCTTTAGGTGCTCGTGCGTCTCCCGCCACAGGTCCTGCCTCAGCTGAGGCCTTGCATACTTTCACACTTGACTCAGGCGCGTCACGTTGCTTCTTTTGTGACTGCACCACACTCACACCACTTGCTGCATCGGTACCAGTCTCACTGGCTGACCCCACTGGGGGCCCAGTAGTCGCACGAGCCTCCACTCTCCTCCTGTGTCCAGCAGTCCCCTCCGGTATTCTGTCAGGTCTCCACCTCCCCACGTTCTCGACGAACTTGATGAGCAACGCTGCCATTCAGGATGTCTGGGTTGATACCTCTATTCCTGGAGGGCAGCGTGTGGCGATCTGTACGTGCTCCCGGACTGGCCGTCACCTTGCTACGTTCACTCGACGGCCTGGGTCTAGTCTATACACACCGACCACTGAGTCTGCACAGGTGGCTGAGTCAGGTCAGGTGGCTGCGTCGGGTCAGGTGTCTGCGTCTGGTCAGCTTGCAGCGTCTTGTTCGTGTCGGGTACTCTCCCACCAGACTCTCCTCCGGCACCACCGCCTCGGTCACCCCTCCCTGCCGCGTCTCCGCAGCATGCACTCCCGTCTCCTTGTCTCTGGCCTTCCCAGGTCCCTGCCCTCCCTCCCGCGCTCGCCTGCGCCGCCGTGCCTTCCCTGCGTCGAGGGGTGGCAGCGCGCCGCTCCTCACTCCTCCGAGTTTCTCCGACCACTGCTCCTCTGCAGACTCTCTACATGGACGTGTGGGGCCCGGCCCCTGTCGGTGGAACGGACCAGGAGCACTACTTCCTGCTGGTTGTTGACGACTACACACGCTACACCACTGTCTTCCCCTTGCGGCGCAAGGCGGACGTCAACGGTGTTTTGATCCCCTGGATCCGTGCTACTCGTCGCCAGCTGCGCGAGTGGTTTCGTCGGGACTTGCCAGTCCTGCGTCTGCACTCGGACAGCGCAAGGGCGCTTCGGGCAGGAACTAGCGGAACGATCGGTGGGCCCTAAAAACCTAACAGGTTTCCTTCTCTGAATACCATGTCAGAATCAACTGTGCAGGAATGATTGGATTAGCAAGAGTTGGGGTACAAGTACTAACCCTAGAAGTGCTGTACCCCATAAGGAGTGCCCCACTATAGCCTACAAGTAAGATTGTACTTTGACAATTCTCTGTTTTTGTTTTGTGCAGGGCGCGTGAGCTGCATTTTTTTATTTTGTTTGGCGGAGAAGGGAGATGAGGGAGGGGGTGGGAGGGAGATGAGGGAGGGAGGGAAGGAGGGGTGTAGGGAGGGTAAAGAGGGGATAGGGTAGCGATGATTTACTAATGGTAACTGAATTCCATTCGTGATGGTTGCGTGTTTATTACCCGTGACTGTATGTATCTGTGCTTGTTTGCGTGTGTGCCAGTGTGTGCGTGTGTGTCAGTGTGTGACTCTTTGTTACGCTTGTTTGCTCTCTTTTCATTGTATGTATGCGTATGTATATATGCGTGTGTGTGTGTATCGTATGTGCGTGGGTGTGTGTGCTTGTGTGTGTGTTAGTTGGTTGTTATTATTTCAAGGTGTGGTGCTGGTATGCATTGTGTTTGCAGTTGAGGTTGTCATCGTCGTTGGCGCAGTGTGTTTTCACTGTCTCAACGACCCCATCAATCTCAGCTGCAGCATTGGTGCATATTAAGCATCCATTCTGATGTCTTCACAACCTTTTTCGTGACGTTGTGCATTTCGTGTTGGTGAGATGTGTGTGTTTCAAGACGAGATGTTGCAATGCATCATGTAGGCAACTAGAGGTTGTCATCGTCATTGATGCAGCGTGTATTCGTTGTTTCAACGACCACATCAATCTCTATTGCTGCATTGATACGTTGTAACATTTCTTGAAACATTCGCATAACACTTTTTACTGTGTACATTCGTACCATGTTGATGCCATGTTCGATCGTACCATCCGCCGTATCAATCGACGAGCTGGGACGGTCGAAACAAAATCATGGTTTCAACATGACATGTAATTGGTTTCACTTTTAGGATATCTCATTCACGAGTGGTTTTTATTCACTATTTGAGGCATTCTCTTGAACAGTGCCAAAAACGTTGTTCAAGCGGGTGCTCCAAAGAGTGCAAAAAAGAAACACTCGAAATGATATCCCCAAAAAAATGAAATCGATTATATAGGGTTGCTACGCAACCCAAAAACTTTGTTCGCGACTCGGACATATGCGGGGCAGGCGGAATTGGGTACACCTGAACATCATGCCAAGAATGCATAGTAGCTAGGAGAACGGCTTAGGAATAGGACGAGCAAGTTGAGAGTGACGAGAACCATGGCGAGAACTTTTGGAGAAAGGAGAGGTTCACTATTGATCAAGATACAAGATGTAGCAAGGAGAAATCCACATGGTACACCACCTACAGCAAGTGAGATACACTACAGTCTACACTACAGACAGTTATAAAGAATATATAAGCATATTCTAACACACCCCCTAACTGCCTGTAGTGAAGAACCTTGTGCACAACACCCCCTGAAGGGGTACACCACAGTGCAGCGGAAGAAGGGGAGGGCAGGCGAGGAGGAGGAGGCGAGA